CAGTGTGTAATAAAAAGTTTTATCTTGAATGTAAAGTCATATAATTGTAATAGAAAAAAGTTTTTCCTGCCCTACCAAAGAAATTCTAGAAAGTATTTGAAAAAAATCTTTTTTAAGGAGTATAAAAGCATTAATCTGCCTAGGGAACCCACACATCTTAGCCCCATGATAGACACATAGGAGGGAACCAGAAATTCCAGATTGTGTTACTGCTATTAAGCTTGCCATCTCAGTGAATGACCATGTCCCAAACACTTGGCAAAAGGCTAGAAATCATCTGTTCCTCACAGCCAATCCTTAACTATAGCATTTCTCTTCTGCTTCAAAGCTTCTCTTGGATCTGTCCCTTTACCTAAGCCTATTTCTATGACCCGATCGAGAGAACTTTTATTCTGTCTTAAATTAAAGCAACAGATTCCTGAGTTTCCAGCCTCATATTTTTCTGACCTGCAGGTCTATATTTTTATTGCTGCAGTGAGATTAAACTTCCCAAAATGGAAATCTGATCATATCGCTCTTTTCATAAAACACTTTAATGGTTGGTCATCGCCCTTGGAATAAAGAGCAAACAGTCCATCAGTTTACACACCCCTCATAAATCATTCCCCTAATCATCTTATCCTTGACTCTCCTGTTTTGCTCCAACCATTCTGGACTACTGTAATCCTCCCATCACAGCATGTTCCCCAAGATTTCCATGCCTTTGCACATACTGTTCACTTTGCCTAGAACACACATCTCACTCCACCAGGTTTGAGGGGAGGGATAAATGGAAATATATTGCTGCAGGGCTACTATATATTTTCCTTGAAGCAATTTGTAACTTTAAGTAGATTCTAATAAATTAAAATTGTATACCATAATCCCTAGAGCAACAAATAAAAATAATGTAAGTAAATATATAGGAAATTAAAGGAGAAATTGAAATGTAATATTAAAAAATAATTGATTAAAAACAATTTATAATAATAAAAGCATAATATGCAAATTGATCAAATGGCTGAAAAGCAGAATGATCTTCTGGGAGAAGCCAGGCTGTGAAGGCCTACTCTTGCACAAATTTTGTGCATCAGGCCTCTAGTAAGACAAGAAAGGAGAAAGAAACAAAAAAGTTAAACAAATAAACAACATATTTCATTAAAGTGGCAAAATCAAATGAAATTATATTAGTAATTTCACTTAGTTTAAATGGATAAAGAAGTGTTACAAAAGGGAAAGATTGCAAAGATTATTTGACTGTTCAGAAGCGAGAAGTAGCCACACGCTGTGTATAAGAGAAGCTCTTCACTACAAAGACAAATCTGTTGAAAGTAAAAGGATAGAAAAAGTATACCATGAAAACATGAAGCTTAAAACAGCCTGAATGGCTATCTCAATCATTCAAAATGACCTGAAGACAAGGAGGATTACCAGACACAGGATGGACTCCTTCCAGTGATAAGATCAATACATCAGGAATTAATCATGTGCTTAATGGTAGAGCTTCTACATGAAATAAAATACATGAAATAAAAATCTACCACACTTGGGGAAATATGGACAAATTCATCTTCATAGTTGTAGATTTTTACAGGTATCTCTCAGTAGTTGATAGAATAGCTTTGAAAAAGTTACTAAAGACTTGGAAAATCTAGACAACACAATCAGCCCTATTAATGACTTTTACAGGCCATTGCACCCAAATAGCAAATACATCTCTATTTCAAGTGCACATGGAATGGTCATTGAGATTGATTTCACACTGGTCAATGAAACACTCAGATTTTGAAAAATTGAAATTTTTGAAGAATATGTTCTCTGACCATAACTGAATTAAATTAGAAGTTAGAAATAAGAAAGACTTAAATACTTAAACACTTGGAAATAAGGGATTTAACTCAGTTCCCAAACCATCCATGATTCAAAATAGAAAGCACAAATTAGAAAAAAAAAAATTTGACTAGGATAATTTAAAATATATATATATATGTGTATATGTATATATATGTATATATATATAATTATTTATTTTATATATATACATATATATATATATATAAATCTGTTAAATGCATGGGGGATAATTATGGTTTCAACAGCTTATACTAGAGAAAAAAATAAGTGATATAAGGTTCTGCCTTAGAAAAATAAATAAAAAGAGCAAACTAAACCCAGAAGAACCTATACAAACATCTATGTATATGAATTACACTATTTCCTTACGTTACATTTCTAGGGGGAAAAAAGCTTCATGAGATTTACTCACTTTTGGAGGTGATGGAGAGAATATTGTATAAACCGTGTTGATGATTTCATAGATGTATATCTCCAAACTCGTTACATGCATTAAATATGTGCAGCTTTTTATATGTCAATCATACCTCAATAAATGGTCATAACAAATTTTTAAAGATTAACAAAGACAAAAAGTGACTCAAAGAGATTGACATGTTTAACATTGATATAAAGTCAATAAATTAACGAACCTCATTGGTGATTCTGAAGTTCCAGACGATTGTACCAGTTATATTCCTTCTCTCAGTTGTTAATCCTGAGTAAAAATAATTATTGAACTTTGTCAATCTGACAGGCAAAAATGAATTGCCTGTTTAATTTGCATTTATTTGCTTACTAGTGAAGTTTTTTTAAAAAAATCTTTTTAGATATTAGCTGCTTTTAGTTTTTATTACATTCACCCCTTTTTCTTATTAATTATTAAGAGCTATTTATTTAATACTATCTTCAATCTATTATGAATCTAAAATATATTGTTTAGTTCAGCAATTGCCTTTGTGTGTGTTGTTTATTTGCTCATCTGTTATTTTTTAAGTGCGTAAAATTGAATAGGTGGGGTTTTCTTATGATTTCTATTTTTAGTCATAGTAAATGCATTTCAACTCTATTATAAAATTATTGAGCTTTCTTCTTGTATTTTTATCCTAAATTTACCTGGAATTTATTTTATTGGAATTTATCTTAGTGAAGTTTATATGCAACTTTTCCACTCAATATCTAGCCAAGTATAGCCAATCATTTATATTTTTTCTCACTGAATAAAAGTGCCACCTTTCACATACAGTGACTTTTCAAATATATTTAGATATAATTCCTGATGTTTCATTGGCTGTATATTTTTGTATCACTATCATGCTGCTTTATTATTTATAGTTTTATAAGTTATATTTAAATATCTTATAGGATAAGTCTTTGTTTATTGTCATTTTTAAAAGTTTGATTATTCTCATATTTATATTCTTCAAAATAAACTTTAGAATTTTTCAAGTCCAAAGAGTAATCTTGGTTAGATGTATATCTTCCTATTAAAATAAATAGAGTATCCTCCTTTGATAAGCTTTGATTAGTTCTGTGAATTTCTTAAGTTTAGTCTAAGGAATTTGTGTGACTTTTTTTTTTTCAGAGATTCTGTGACTGGAATTATTTTTTACAATAATATATTCTGCTTTATATAATCTGAAAAAACAATTAAATTTTATAACATGTTGATTTACTTAATTTTCCTATTTAGTATTTTTAATTAATTTTCTTTAATTTTCAAGGCAGACATTAATTTGATATATAAACAATAGTTTTACTACATTATTTCAATAATTAGAACTCATTCATATATAATTGATTTTGCTAGCACTTTCTATATCTTTGCCTTGTTTCTACATTTTGGCAACATTTTCTAGTTGGTTATTTACCATTAAGATTGATCCTAGTTTTCATTTATGGATGATTTGTTGATGTAGAGCAATATACCTGCACATAGACAGAGACATATATGTTAACACTGTGATTGGAGACCTGTACTCTTCTTAATTGCTCTTTTACAATTCAAGAGTAGACACTGAAGCTTGTCAAATACCTTTTTATCTAAAAATATTGCTTTTGAGTTGTCACGCCTAAGGTAAGGTGTTTATGGTGAAGTGTATGCTGGGAATCTGGCTGAAAAGCACAGCTCAACAACCACTTTTGTGACTCATGTCTCCTTGAGTATCTGCAGTTAAAACAAACTTCTGATCTCATCTGGTACCTCTTTGATTTCAGTTTACAGGCTCACTGGATTTGAACTTGAATATGAAAGAATGATAGCTCATTTATTATTTAAAATAATTTTTCTTAAAATTTATTATTTAAAATAATTTTTCTTAAAATTCTGACTCTTTCCCCCTCTTCCGTATTTAACCTCAAAACTGGAGAAAACATTTTCATCATCATCGCTGTTAGTGCCTTGTCCTAATGACAAAGACAAAGAATGCACAGAGATTTTGAGGCTCAAGAAAATCCTTTCATACATCAAAGTTACTAAATTCTGAAAGAAGTATATTTTCTAATTAAAGGTTCTTTTTAAGGTTAAAGAAAACATTACATATGTAAGGAAAAGTCCGAGCTCTTACACTGGATGTAGCCTTTTTTTTGTCTTTGACCCTATGGGCTGGTGTGGTATGGGGCTTCTGTTGGCTTCATTTCCAACACAGGACCGCATCCCAAACAGGAGAGGTGCAGACACTGGTGCACACTGAGCAGCTTTTCTCTTCGCCACTCCCGGTTTTAGATGAGTTCAAATAGAGCCTTTTGTAGAATGTATGTGGCTTTGCCTCACAGTCTATGCTAGACAATGTATAGTCTCTGATCGTTTTCTTTTTTCTTTAGTTTCTTTATTGGTTATGGTATCACATCATTGCCATCATCACCCCATTCCCATCTGATCGTTTTCAAATACTGTAATTGTCCTGCCTCTAGGGAGCTACTGTTATCATCCCCATCACCTCCCTGTTTCAGCCAAAGAAAGCGGGTGCAGGGAGGTGAGATCCTTACCCGAGACCACGCAGCTCCTGTTGGAGGCCCTCTGCTTCCAGTTCAGCTCTGCTTGATGCCCAGCCCTGCCTGTTCCTTTCCCCTGGACTTCTCTACCTCTGTTTCCCTTTCCCTTCTCCTGCGCTGACTCACCTTCTCCTCTCTCTCCTGCCGCTCCCCCTGCAGGCCCGTGACCAAGGCGCAGACGAAGAGGGGGAGTCATGCTTCACAAGGCCGCATCATGCTGGCAGCCGCTCCTGGGTCTGGCCGTGGCGTTCATCTTCGTGGGGTCCGCCCTGGGCTGCCCGGCCCGCTGTGAGTGCTCCGCCCAGAACAAGTCTGTCAGCTGCCACCGCCGGCGCCTGGTGGCCATCCCGGAGGGCATCCCCATCGAGACCAAAATCCTGGACCTCAGCAAGAACAGACTGAAAAGCGTCAACCCGGAGGAATTCATCTCGTACCCTCTGCTGGAGGAGATAGACCTGAGTGACAACATCATCGCCAACGTGGAGCCGGGAGCCTTCAGCAGCCTCTTCAACCTGCGTGCCCTCCGGCTCAAGGGCAACCGCCTCAAGCTGGTCCCCCTGGGGGTGTTCGCGGGGCTGTCCAACCTCACCAAGCTGGACATCAGCGAGAACAAGATCGTCATCCTCCTGGACTACATGTTCCAGGACCTGCATAACCTGAAGTCCCTGGAGGTGGGGGACAACGACCTGGTGTACATATCGCACAGGGCCTTCAGCGGGCTGCTGAGCCTGGAGCAGCTCACCCTGGAGAGGTGCAACCTCACTGCCGTGCCCACCGAGGCCCTCTCCCACCTCCACGGCCTAGTGAGCCTGCACCTGAAGCATCTCAACATCAACCACATGCCCGTGTATGCCTTCAAGAGACTGTTCCACCTGAAGCACCTGGAGATCGACTCCTGGCCTCTGCTGGACATGATGCCGGCCAACAGCCTCTACGGCCTCAACCTCACCTCCCTGGCCATCACCAACACCAACCTGTCCGCGGTGCCCTTCCTCGCCTTGAAGCACCTGGCCTACCTGACCCACCTGAACCTGTCCTACAACCCCATCAGCACCATCGAGGCAGGGATGTTCTCCGACCTGACCCGCCTTCAGGAGCTGCACGTCGTGGGGGCCCAGCTCCGCGCCATCGAGCCCCACGCCTTCCAAGGGCTCCGCTTCCTTCGCGTGCTCAACGTGTCCCAGAACCTCCTGGAAACTCTGGAGGAGAACGCCTTCTCCTCCCCGAGGGCTCTGGAGGTGCTGAGCATCAACAACAACCCGCTGGCCTGCGACTGCCGCCTCCTGTGGATCCTGCAGAGGCACCCCACCCTGCAGTTTGGGGGCCAGCAGCCCATGTGCGCCGGCCCCGACACCATCCGGGAGCGCTCCTTCCAGGACTTCCACAGCACCGCCCTCTCCTTTTACTTCACCTGCAAAAAGCCCAAAATCCGGGAGAAGAAGCTGCAGCACCTGCTGGTGGACGAAGGGCAGACGGTCCAGCTGGAGTGCAGTGCGGACGGGGACCCCCAGCCTGGGATTTCCTGGGTGACGCCCCGAAGGCGGTTGGTCACCACCAAGTCCAATGGGAGAGCCACCGTGCTGGGCGACGGCACCTTGGAGATCCGCTTTGCCCAGGACCAGGACAGCGGGATGTACTTGTGCATCGCCAGCAACGCAGCTGGCAACGACACCTACACGGCCTCCCTGACGGTGAAAGGATTCGCTTCAGACCGCTTCCTTTATGCCAACAGGACCCCTATGTACATGACCGACTCCAACGACACCCTGTCCAATGGCACCAACGCCAACACCTTTTCCCTGGACCTCAAAACAATACTGGTGTCCACAGCCATGGGCTGTTTCACATTCCTGGGAGTGGTTTTGTTTTGTTTCCTCCTCCTTTTTGTATGGAGCCGTGGGAAAGGCAAGCACAAAAACAGCATTGACCTGGAGTACGTGCCTCGGAAAAACAACGGTGCTGTCGTGGAAGGGGAGGTGGCCGGACCCAGGAGGTTCAACATGAAAATGATCTGAGGGTCTACCAGTCCCACCGGTCTCTGTGTCACTGTCCGTAACCAGTCGGACTGCCTGGCACAGCCGATCGCAAGGTGGAAAGGCAGCTCAGGGCAGCTGCCCCTGTGTCAGAGCAGGGTCTGTGGAAGGAGAAGAACTGTTTATGGGGACAGGACGCTCCATCTAGAGGCAGGCAGGCTGGCTGGTGTCAGAGCCCTTCACACAGTGAGATACTAGTTGTTTGCATTGCAAATGTTGGCATTCTGGGGGTCTCAGTAAGGAACCTGAACCTTGGCTCATGCTCATGGATGGTTATTCAGCATTTTCTACCACTGCAGAAACAAAAGAAAAAAAATTAAAAGGAACAACCTACAATGTAGGATTTACATATTTAAAAAAAAAAGACACATTTGTCTAAAATATATTCTACCGAAAAATTTGTATTATGATTATCCTTTATTAAACCCTTGCATCATACCATACTGTTGGTTTGACACCACAGAGAGATCAATATATTCTTTATTCTTCCTTTTTTTTTTTGAAACATAAATGCTGTATATGTTTTAAAGCAATATGAATGAGAGGTTGTGCTTTTAGTTACTCACCACTATAGATCCAAGAGTGATTTGACCTTCCTTTACATCCAGATAACCCTGAGACCAGATTCCCCGGAGCTGTGTGGAAAGATGCATTTGTCTGATGTAGGATGCCAAGAAATAAGACCCAAGGCAAAAAACTGCTCAACTCTGTTAACTTCTGTTACTATAAATAAAGGCATGTGCCTAGTTTTGATACAGAATGGAATATTTTTTATACTTGTGATATCACACTGGGACCAGTTTACTGTAACCAAGCCCTTGGTTTCTCCAGAAGCTGGTAGGCCACTAGTTGTAACCATAAAATGAAGGTAGGTGGTAAGAATGAAAACAATCCATTCAACGACAACTTGGTATTTCTCCCATCAGTTGCTATTAATGGGTTAATAGGAAATGAAAGAGCATATAGTTATTATATATTATACTCATGGGTTAATATTCACCTCATAACTAAGATCAAGAATTCAGGTGTTCCAAAGCTCTCTGGATAAGTTCTTCTCAGATGCCAACACAAACCAGGGTGATCCATGCAGAACATGATGTTAATTCTACTAAGCGGCCCTTTAAAACATGATAGCTGTCTGAAGACTGGAGTGCTGCCAAAGAAAGCATCTAGCAGCTCTGATGTTGTCTATCCAAGTACTAGAGACAAAGTATTGCTTTGAATGGGTAACTTCAGGGTTTCTCCCTGCTTCCTTACTAAGTAGAGACTTGGTTCTTGTTTTGAAAATTATCCTGTGTAGACCAAAAGAAATCTGTCTTGTTTTTAAAGAAGTGGGGAAAACAAGATGGATTAAAAAGTGCTTACCAATTTTTCCCCCTCTGACCCAAGGATATTGCCAATTCAATTTTTTAAATGATTGTTACTCAAAGTTAAAATATTATAGTTTGTTTTTTAAAATGGCATCATGCCATTGCCACCAGTAATCTGGTTCAAGTAAGATATAATGTAATTTGTTAAATGTTGAGTGAATGGATTTTCAAAATACATTCATATGACTTCAGAAAGCATTGGATATAGAGGGTATTTATGAATGTGATCTATTTAACAGCACAGAACAGAGGAAATTCCTGCATTTCCCACATGTTGAAAGAGACCTGAAAATGAGCCCCCTTTTGGATAGCATATACACTAGAATACAAGGTTTGCTTCTTCACATCAGATTGGGGGTTTGACATTCAAAATCTGGCATTTGCTTTAATATTTAAAACCTTGAGTAACTAATAAAATTAAATTGCCTCAATAAAAAAGTGGCAGGTCCAGAAATTGTCTTGCCAATTGGCTAAACCCATTCTCCCTTAGTAAAGGGAGGAAAATGAGATAAAAATTGAAGACTTGCCTATTTGAGTCATTTGTAATTTGACTTTCCTGAGGATTATCATAGATCTTTCAGAAATTAATTCTCCAATTTTGTAATTACTTTGTTTTATCTAACAATACAAATCAAGATCTGTTATAAATTCTAGCAAAATTCCAACTTCTGTGCAAAAGGAATGGATCTTTCAAATTTAAACAGAGAAAAAAGACAAAGAAGGTAGAGAAACAATCTATCATAATTTTTCAGTATTGCGTGGAGCAAATACTTAAATGTACAACAACAAAAACAAACATTGAACCATTAATTAAAGGGCTTTGAAATTTAATTGTTTTCAGTCAAAATTGATAATTTTTATGAAATTGGATTAAAGTGAGTCTATCCTTGAAAACAATTAGTTTTTTTTTAAAAAGTTGATTATTCCATTGGCAGAGGAGAGATTACACTCTCTCAAAGTTTCCATATTCCAGTCCATGGGAAAACAGCTACTAAGATATTAATAACCATTCTTCCAAAAAATAGTCTCAGAAGCTAAGTAGGAGAATGCTGCATTCTATAACCACCTCTTGGAAGTTCGAAATCCATGTGAGCCTAATAAAGACTCCAAAAGTTCCTGTAAACAAGATTTCTCTTTAATGTTGTCTTGGGGTTTCTCTAACCTACTTGAGCATGGAGCACTTCTTTTCATGTCTTAACTGTTATCTGGAAAAACCAGTTCTGCAGAACCCACTTTGGTCAACATTAAACTAAAATATAGCATGCTTCTGAAATATTCCTAAACCCAATGTTCCTAACAAAAGAAAAATTGTGTATTTGAATTGGGCTCCAGTAGATTAGGAAAAAAAAAAAAAAAGCATACTTCTTGTATAACTGATCTGATTATATAAATGTACTGGCCAGATATTTCTGGGAGAACTTTCTGCCTGAAGCATCATAATCATGGGTTTATAGGTAATTGCTCATTCAATTTTCTACTCTCTCACAGTTGGAGCAGATCTTAGGTTCCTTTATACATCTGCAAAGCTCTCATTTTGGGCTCCTCTGCCTGGGGTTCTGGGCTCTAGTATTCAGTTTCACAAAAGGAGCTTCCCCTCATGACTTTAGATTACCTCTTCGTAAGATCTAACTAGGTCATGCAGAGATGAACAGCTCAGACCAGCAAGTGGTCAAATTTTCCCGTTAGGAGCCATCTCTGAGTCATCTTCCCAGAATATTTGTCTCTTAAGTTGTTTAGCCCAGCATTTAGTACTTGGGCAACCAGTTATTTGTCTGTGTATACTCAGCATTTCCAGAAAAGTATTCATTTTCTCTAGACATTAAATCTCTAGAAGGAAGAATTGCCTGATGGTCCGAAACAATTGACCCATCCCCCAAAATGTCTGAAACCATCTTATGGTAACTCACCAAATGATGTGCTTATGTGTTGCTGGCAAGGGATTTCTCCTCTTGCAAATTCTCATGTTACTCACTTTTTAAAACCTCTTTCATTTTCATTGTGTTTATCATTGAGTTTTCTAAATATTCTCAAAGTTTGAAAATGCCAAGTATTGTATTGCCAAGACTGGTACTTCCTAGGTTCTGAGGACACCTGTCAGAACTCTAACTTTGTTCAACTTTCTAGAAAGTTTGCTCATCGCCAAACAGCTCCCCAGAAGGACAAAGACATTCAGAATTTGCTCTAAGGTGGATTCTTTTTTTCTTTGTTCTATCAAAATTTCTGTTCTCAGTTCTTAGAGGAGCTCAGAAATATAATAGAAAAATATTTAAATCGCACCTGCATTGAAGCCTACCTTTTGTCATTTTCCAAGACTCAGGTAGGAACAAAATATCTGTACAAAAGAGAAGAAAAATTGATCATGGAGAAGAGAAATTGAGTAGAGCCCCAAGTAAATTAACTTATCCTTACAGGGTCTCCCTTCATCTGCATGTCTGTCAAAACATTTGTTGTAACTGCAGGGACTGTGCTCAGAAGCTGTTCAACACAGAATGTGTCTTGGGGCTTTCTGGGAAAGAACAAAAATACATTATTTTCAGTTTTAGAAGGCTAAGAAGTCACAAAAGATATATCGAGAGTTTAAAGAAAGGTTGGAGGGAGACACTGGATCCATTTTAATTATATTCCCTTTATTACTAATTTTGATAGTTTTCTTCCATCTAAAGAAAAATCAGAGCTTATGTTCTTCTTTAACTTTCAGAGGAGTCTTTTATACTAGCAGTTCCCTGTGTCCTGCTCAACCTTATATAGCTCACATGAGCTATTCCACATGAATTTGTGGCATGTGAACCTAGTAACAAAACCTTTGGGACCAAAGCCATTCACACTACTTGGTAATTAGGCAAATATTTATCATCTTTGTTGCTGGGATTAAGGTATGAAATGCTCCCCATTAGAATATACATCATATGTCTAGTTATTTCCACTGGCTTTGCAACACTGGCTTTGCAACTTCCATACTTTCTGATAAAAAAAATCCTTGATATTTTCTGATTGAAGAGTTTTGGAGCCTTTATGTGTGGAAAGCCTTGAGGAATGAAATATTATCTGACTTGTTGATTTTAGAATTGCATCTTTAGGTTAGGCAATAGCTTCTTGGTACTTTAGCACACTTGACATGACTCTCTCAGTTACTCCTTCAAAAGCCATTCCCATTCTCAGTTACTCCTTCAAGAGCCTTCTCATTCTCACTCCAGAAAAAGTAGGACAGCAGGGGAAGGACAACCTTGTAACTTAAGTCTAGAAGGTCAAAATGATAGCCTTGACATTTGGGCAACTTACCCAACAAAAACTGGGTCTAGGGCCATAAGTTTGGACTTATAAGGTGTTAGCCAAGTAAACTATGCTTTAAATGAACAATAATAGGTTTTCAAGTCTGAAGATGGTTTGTCTGTTTTGGGAGCAGTGAATGTAGCTGCAAATGTTCTAAAAAAAAAAAAAAAAAAAAAAAGGAAAAAAATGTTAGCGAATGAAAACTGCTTATCTTGTGTAAGCTTTTCAACAGATTGCCCAAAACAAAATACTTGCACTCTCCTCCCCACTCCCCCTACCCACAGCCCCCAAAAAAGGCATGATTAAGAAGTTTGCAAAAAGTTTGGTTTTTTTTAAACAGGC